TTGACAAGACACGTTTGGGTAACGGGCGTTTACGGTGGATTAGTTATTCGGTTGCGAATCTGTCTGTTGGGGTGAAGGGCCACCTCCGCAAACGCTCTTCGTCGCGATTATCGTGAGAAGCAGTTTGCAGGTACATGCGTGCGCATGGCTGACGATAACCGTCCTTCACAATAGCTTCCTCTTGGGGCTCGACGGTTTCATCCATTTTTCAAGCCAAGTCGAAGTCATGTGCGTGCGTGGTTAGCGAATTTCGCTGTTCATCTCTGTCTGCACGATGGCAACACTACGTGCGAAGAGTACAGTACCACACCGCCAAAGAAAGGTGTGTTTGGTGTTACCTCGGCAAGCAAACATGCATCTGCAGCATTTAACTCTGTATGGGTCGTTGTGCACATTTGGATGGCTTTCGGTGCGTGCGTGCACACAGAATGTTGCACCACCTACTGGCCTCGTGTCGCAGCTTCTACATGATTCACTGGGGGGGGGGGGGTTACGGCTGTCTGCTGTGCATACAGCGGTGGATACGTGTACATATAGTCTATGTCATGTACGTCCACCTGTCGGAAGAAGTACCTTAGAACTGTAGTAGGTTGGGTTCAACCGATACAACACATGATAACATAGATATGATCCAGGATTGTTATGGTGGTGGATGGAGTTGAGTGAGGCTTGAGCCCCGAGTGCGTGGGTTTTGCGAACACAACAACTTTAACACCTACTGCATCATCAAAACAAGGGCCCGCAAAACAAATGCTTGCTGCGTAGAACATGGTCTCACAAGGTCATCAACAGTCCATATAGTGATCTGATGTTGGCTGTGTGTGCTTCTTGGAGGAGAGGATGCGCACACAACACTACACGAGTAACGTTGGGCGCCGCCACTCCCTCCTGCCTGTGCCGTGTGTGCGTGTGTGTGTTGTCTGTTGTACCTCAATTGGGTTGTTGCTTGACTGTAGCAGCAGCGGTCGCTCTTACTAGCCAACCAAGCCGCCCGATCAATCAATGTAGTTAGAAGACGTCAGGCTTCTTCAGCGGAAGAGCCGATGAATAATAACACCGCGAGCACCGGCAAGCGACAGGGAGGGTGATTGAGTTGGAAGCCGCTCCTGCGCTGCCGCTCGCTCCTCCTTCCATGATTGATGTCAAGGGCGTGTCTGTGTGTGCTGGTGCTGCCTCTCCCCTCCGCCCGCTCAGCGCAGCGCGACACATTGGCAAATATGTGCATATATATGCATGTCAACCATGCAGGATCGGTCTCGCTTTCATAGCGTGACCCGTGCATCTCGCACATACACTGTCGGTCGCCCCGGTGGTCTAGTGGGTAGCCTCGCAGCCTGCTAAGGGCCAGGTCATGGGTTCGAGTCCCGACAGAGAGAGTTTTTTTCNCCGCTCAGCGCAGCGCGACACATTGGCAAATATATGCATATATAATGCATGTCAACCATCCAGGATCGGTCTCGCTTTCATAGCGTGACCCGTGCATCTCGCACATACACTGTCGGTCGCCCCGGTGGTCTAGTGGGTAGCCTCGCAGCCTGCTAAGGACCAGGTCATGGGTTCGGGTCCCGACAGAGAGAGTTTTTTTCTCACTAAATAAATCCCGGTCTAGCATGAAAGCGACGCGCTGCAAAGCTCGTTTGTTAGTGAACCATAATCGACTTCGTAAGTCGCGAGGGAAGGGATTGCTGTACCCTTCTCGCGATAAAAATACCTCAGGCATGAACCGCAGGAGGGGGTCCATACCTCAGGCATGAACCGCAGGAGGGGGTCCAACCCCCCCCTCCTATGTGACCCCGGTTGGGTCGTCTAGCCAGTAGAAGTGGAGGATAGGGGCCAGAGGGGCAGACGGCAGAGTCCAATGATGGGAGAGAAACAAACAAAAAAAAACAAAAACTACACGAGTAACGTTGGGCGCCGCCACTCCCTCCTGCCTATGCCATGTGTGCGTGTGTGTGTTGTCTGTTGTGTCTCAATTGCGATGTGGTTGTTGCTTGACTACTGC